CTTTCGTTGAAATTTGCGTTTTCCGTAGAAATGTAGCTTGGCCAAACAAAATGAAGTCCCAAACAAAAGTCTATGCTCTGGAAACTGGAATTAGAACTATTAAAAAGGTTGTTGAGGTGGCTTGTTATTATCAATCGTTCGTTGGTTATTAGTGCGGTTAGTTTTGCATGTGAAAGTCTCATTTTTGTAATTTGTACTGATTTGGGACAAGTTATTACCAGATTGGTATGCTCACTACACATACACTATGTTACAAGGAAAATAATGGAATGCCACAGTTGTCATTTGAAATTTTTCAGCACCTCGAGCGTTGCTCGTGCTCGACAACCACCTCCACAAGATGTTATACTTTTCGTAATTGGTGGAGGCAATTACGTGGAATATCAAAATCTTGTTGACTACGGAAAATTGAAGAATTTGCAACGTGTCACATACGGATGCACAGAGCTCGTTAATCCAAGGCAATTTACCGATCAAGTAAGTCTACTTTGGGTATGCGAGTGCGGTTGAGTGTTGTTAGTCCCCATTTTAAAAAATCGCAATGCAATCCATTTGCACTACTATATGTTTTCGTAATCGTGTCGCTGCCATGAAACGCGATATGTAGAGGAGTCATATTGCTCGAGGAGATCGCTTCTACATATCAGTGTAGTTACGTTCAATTCAATGGTCATGAAGTGCTTTTAGCAAGAGATTACAACGTGTAGAGCGTTCAGGTCGATGTCAGATGTGGTTAATTGCCACCTTCTGAAATCAAAAAAATGAGTAGCAAAATAATTTTTATTGAGGTTTAATGCTGAGCTAAACGTTTGAGAAATATGTGTAGTGGGCCAAGGCTCGTTTGATCATTTTCGCTCAAATTCTTGCATGGGCATTCCTTTTCAAAATTTCTGCAAAAGGCGTTATTATATATCTGAGAAGCGGTTGCGTGCGTGATGATTTTTTAAAACTGATTGCTTTGTCCTTTTGCCGCTTACGATTTTTTGAAATGTCCCGAATTCAAATTAAAGTAGTTCTTATAGGGCTTTGATGCAGAATTACAACTTTTTTGGTTAAGGAAATTTGTATAATTGATTGATTCTACTCAATTATCACCATTTTGTTAAAGCTGCTAGGAGGAAGCAGTATTTTATCAAGGAACCTGAAATTAGAAATATGGAGCTCGGATTGTAAAGATATTAGTCAAAACACCAAATGCTGGTCCCTTTACTTCCTTTGCTTTGAAAAAAGTTGCTAATTGAAGTTCTTTTCTAAAAACACTTTTTGTGATGGAATCATCTCAGAAAATTTCGTCGGGCCAACATGATTTTTGGAAAATT